GAACAGCAAGTGCCAAGGCGGGAGTGGATCCTGCGTGTGGGAAGAACAGTGTAACCAGAGCAGAAAGGAAGGAGGTAAGAGATGAGGTGAGAGAGCCAATACAGGCAGCACGCATCTAGGGAAACAGCGAGCAAACAGTGCATGGGTAACGCGGCTCTGCCACCTGTGCCGTAAATAGTTGTACTGGGACCACAGCCGACCTTTGGTTTAATGTTGTCTGTGGATACTTTCAAACTACAACAGCAGAACTAAGTAGTTACAACACAGACCATTTAGCCCACAGAGCTGGCTCTTTACAGAAAAGACTTACCAACCTCTGGCTCAAACAAATAGGGACTTTTTTCAATGGCAAAATTCAAGGGTAAGCACAGAAGCTCCATGATGTTGATGAAGACCCAGACTCCCTTTACCTTTACGCTTCTGGCTTCGCATCATCTCAGAATGACTGCCAATGCTCCCAACATCACCCCTTATATCCACCCTTGAGACAGAAAAGTAGGGGAAAGGGGCATCTGTTCCTCCTACCAGGAAAGCAGAAGTTATCTCCTCTCTCCTTCGAATCCCCTCTCCTCCCCACATTTTCCCCAGTTTCTTTGCCCAGAGGGGGGTCACGTGGCCACTTCTAGCTTCAGAGGAAGCTGGGAAAGCCATGAAAAGAAGTGTCAAGATTGATTTAGACAGTGGCCCTCAAACATTTTTGACTGAGGCCCACAGTGAGAAACACATTTTATTATCACAGCCTAATCCACACAACTGAAACATAAATAGTGCAAACAGCAGTTCAGAAAACACAGCTTACAAGTACTATGTGTGCTATACACTGACATTTTCTCTCCAATTATTTTAAATACTAGTCACATCATCTACCTTCATTTCATGACTCACTATTGGGTTATGAGTACAGTATGAAAAGTACAAGTGACCATGATTTGTCACTAAGGGCCTGTTCCAAATCTCTCTCTCTCTCTCTCCTCTCTCTCTCTCTCTCTCTCTCCTCTCTCTCTCTCTCTCTCTCTCTCTCTCTCTCTCTCTCTCTCTCTCTCTCTCTCTCTCTCTTTCTCTCTCTCTCTCTATCCTTTACCTTCCTTTCTTTTTCCAAAGAATGAAATAGATATTGGGTTTGCAATAACAGTATCCACAACACCCACTATAAATGAGCTGGAGGCCACATACAGTTCCATTGAATACTCAAGGAAAATGTGATCCTCTTTCTGAAGGAACTGAGGACCCTGGTGATGGACACTGGTGTTCCATGTAAGATTCAGGTAGGTGCATCCACTCCCCAGGACTGTTGAGGAGATTGCTTGGTGTCTCTGATGTAAGGCACCTAGCACAGTGCTAATACACAGGCTGGGCAGGCAGGACAATCAGGTCAATCAGGTCGCTTCCTCAAATCTAATCACTCTAGACCAGGCCTGGCCCTGGGGGACAGCAACAACTACATGACAGATTGATTCGCTTTCAAGAGCAGGAAAGCCCAAGGCAAATTGTATGCTACTTTGGTGTGGTTTAATTACCCTATTTGGGCATGAGCAAATGCTCACAAGTTGAGGGTTATGTTGCATTTTTACCGCTGTTTTTTAAAAAACCATTTAGAAGAACCAATTATTGGCCTCAGCCTTGATGACCAGATCTTTGGACTGTGCAAGAAAGGAGGTCCCCCACCCCAGGTATGCCCTGAGCTGGCACAAGGTAGGCCACTCTCCATGAATTCATGAAAAGGCAGAGCTAAAGGATCCTGGACTGGTCAACTTTACCCCCTCGTTTTTGCAAGTGGGGAAACTGAGGCCCAAAGGGGTTGCAACATGACAAGGTCACACAGAAAGTAGCTGGCAGAGCCCAATCTCTACCCCAAACACAGCAGCCCTAACAACAACGAGTAGCACAGCACCTCTAGAGTGGGATCCAGGCCCACAGACTTAACTGAGCTGCTTTTTGCCTGTGTGGGTTCTTGCATTTTTCCTTCAGATTCTAAAATGGCCATGTGATTCCGGTCAGGATGGTGGGTAGGTAAACACAGTATTGTGCCCTCCCACAACCACATCAAAGTTACAACTAAACTACAGAACAACTATCATTCAAAACTGCCTGAAATCAAGCTGAATGGAAGTCCTACAACTACAGAATTAAAGCAGCAGCCACATCGAGACTGGTAGGAGGGGCGGAGAGACAGAGGGGCAGAGGCGCAAGGTGACAGGCTGATCCCACATCCACGTGTGGCAGATAAAAATCAGGAGGACACCTCAGGTGGGAAGATCCTTCCTGAGGACTGAGGGGTCCCCGTTCCACACCAGGTGCCCCACTCAGGGTCCCAGTGCCAGGAAGAGAATCCCCATAACTTCTGGCTGGAAAAACCAGCGGAAACTGAGGCTCAGGGAGGCTGACGCGGCTGGAGCCCCAGGCAGCTCCTTAAAGGGCCCGCGCACGAACTTATCGGACTCTCTCCCTCTAAGCTTGGAGGGGAGGCAGCTCGAGGGGCACCAGAGACATACAGGGAAGAACTGGGCTGTTTGGCACTGGAGCAAAGGCCGGAGAGGGGGCTTTCTCCAGCACAAACGTGCTGTCAGAGGCCTTTGTTCCTTTGGTGAGCCCTTCCCTGGGGCGGCAGACAGAAGCCATATCTGGGACTCCAGCAACCTGGCTCACACTGGGAGCCCTGCCCTGGTGACTCCCTGAGGCCCCGCCCCACCCAAATTTCAGGCCCACCCAAGCTGTTGCCACATGCTTAACCGTAGGATTGGCCTGTCTTGGATCCTGCTTCAGGTTTTTCCTAAATTCTGTCAAACAAGCAGCATCTGGTCTCAGCTAGCCCCATACCGCTCGTTAAGTAATACACAGAAACAAACACAGGGAGGCAGCCAAAATGAGGAGACAAAGAAACAGGTCCCAAATGAAAGAACAGAACAAAACCCCAGGAAAAGAACTAAGTGAAATGGAGATAAGCAACCTAACACATGCTGAGTTCAAAATACTGCTTATAAGGATGCTCAATGAACTCAGTGAGAACCTCAGTGAACTTAGTGAGGGCCTCAAGAGCATAAAAAAGGACCAGTCAGAAATGATGGATGCACAGTCAGAATTGAAGGAGGCATTAACTGAAATAAAAAATAATTTACACAGATTCAATGGTAGAGTACGTAAATCCAAGAAGCAAACCATCAATTTAGAATATAAGAAAGCAAAAAATGCCCAATCAGAACAGCAAAAAGAAAAAAGAATCCAAAAAATGAGGATATTGTAAGGAGCCTCTGGGACAACTTCAAGCATGCCAACATTCGCATCTTGGGGGTGCCAGAAGGAGAAGAGCGAGAACAAGAAATCGAAAACCTCTTTGAAACAATAATGGCAGAAAATTGTCCTAACTTGGTGAAGGAAACAGACATATAAGTCCAGGAAGCACAGAGAGTCCCAAATAAGATGAACCCCAAGAGGCCCACCAAGACACATCATCATCAAAATGCAAAAGGTTCAAGACAAAGAAAGAATCTTAAAAGCAGCAAGAGAAAGGCAGCTAGTTACCTACAAGGGAGTTCCCATAAGGCTGTCAGCTGATTTCTCAAAAGAAACTTTGCAGGCCAGAGGGGAGTGGCAAGAAATATTCAGAGTGATGAAAACCAAGAACCTACAACCAAGATTACGCTATCCTGAAAAGCTGTCATTTAGAATCGATGGCCATATAAAGACTTTCCCAGACAAGAAAAAGTTAAAGGAGTTCATCACCACCAAACCGTTATTATATGAAATGTTGAAGGGTCTTTTTGAAGAAAAAGATAAAATATATGAACAAACAAAATGGCAATGAATACATATCTATCAACAATGGAATCTACAAACAAAATGAACAGGTAGAACAGAAACATTCTCATAGATACAAAGAACATTTTGTTGGTTGCCAGATGGGAGGGGGGTTGGGGGAATGGGTGAAAAAGGTGAAGGGATTAAGAAGTACAAATTCATTGCTAGACTGACAAACCTCAAAGGAAAAGTGGTTGGGGGGGTGGGAGGAAATAAACCAAAGAACTTATATGCATAACCAGTGGACACAGACAATAGTGTGGGAAAAGGCGGGAGGGGGGCAGGAGTGGGGAGGAGGGGGTCAATGGGGGAAAAATGAGGAACATCTGTAATACATTCTACATTCAACAATAAAGATTTAAAAAATAAATAAATGAATAAATAAAATAAAATAAAATGGCCACGTGACTCTAAAACGATTAAGAACCATTAAATGATTTATGTTGAGGGTAGGAATGAGGAAGTCCATCCCGAGGTCAGGACTGGGAATCAGGAAATAAAACAGAAATTGCAAATGTTTCCATCAACCCTTTCGCCTGCCCTGCCACTCACACACCCCAGAAACACTGAGCTGTTCTGACTTGCACGAAAGGCCTGGGGTCTCTGTCCCCTCTGCCTCCGCGCAGGCAAATAAACACTCGTGAAGCAGGCGGTGACTGAGAAAAGTTTATCTTTTCCTCTTTATCGTCGGATCCGATTGCTTCATTGCAGTGGAGCTCTGAGAGCCCACGTCAAGCAAACAGCCGACCACAATGGGCGCCCCTCGAGCAGAAAAACACAGCGCCTGGGACTTGCTGCGAACCTCCTCCCCGGGACACGCACAGGACGAACTGCGGCGCCCAAGCAGCGGCCTTTGTTTGAAACCCAATGGTTCGGTGACTTCAGGTATTTGCACCATCCCAGCCAATAACTCCCGGGGCTGCTTCCTCCGCGAGTCTCGGGGCGCCCTGGTGGTGGTCGGAACCCGCAAGCGTCACACCCCGAACCTGCTCCGCAGCACCTGGGGCACCGCCTAAAGCGGACCCTGCCCTGTGCGCCCTGGACGCGGCAGGCGGGACCAGGCGGGACCAGGCGGCCCCATTGGCCCGCGCAGGACGAGAGGCGGGGAGGGGCGGGGCAGACGCGCGTTTCCATTGGTCGAAGCGGCGAGGGGCGGGGAGAGGAGGGCCCGACGCGCCGAACCCGGGAGGCCCGGGGCAGTAGGCGCCAAGGACTCAGCGCGGGTGCGGGAGAGGGCACAGCACTGACAGCGGCCTCTGGTCTGCGCGTTGAGAGGACGGTGAGTGATACGTGGGCAGGAGAGTTCGGGGGCGTCCAGGTAGCACTGACACCTCCGCCCCCAGCCATGAGCGCTGGAGGCTGGGCGCTGGTGCCCCTCGGCTGCCGCAAACAGGGTCCCCTACCTCTGCCAGCCTGGCTCATCCCGAGCCTCTGGCCCAGTGCTGAGTTGGGAGTGGGCATGGCGCCAAGCATCTCCTCCAAGGGGAGGGCACTTTAGGGACTAAAACATGAGCATGACAGGTGACGCAACCTCAAGCGACACCTTGTCCACATGGGCTCTCACCTTAGCCAGCATCCCAAAAGCATTGATGTTAGAATTGGGGGGAGAGGCTGCAAGCGCCTCTGGCACAACTCTCAGATTTCATAGACGGAAAGCCACCGCCAAGATAACATCAGAAGGAAGGGCTTGCCTTACAGTCGCTATTTATGGAGTATTTGCCTTGTTCCTTCATCTGTGCTAAGAGGTTTAGCATAGTATGCCCTCTATTTCTTACAGCTCCACTTTCATTATCCCCATTTTCAGATGAGAAAACTGTTTCTCAAAGACTTGTGGAATTATCTCATTTTACCCAGATGAGTCAGTGGTGGGGTCAGGATTTGAACCCAGGTCTCATTCATTTTACCCACTGACTTCAGAGCTCCCCCTGCTTCCCCAAGCTCCTGACTCTCAGTTCTACACTTTCGACTGCAAGATGCCTCAGTGTTGTTACTAGTCTGGCACAGCCCCATTTACGCATCCTATTGTGGGAATACCAGGCAAGTGCCAGGGCTGTCTTAAAACACTGCAAGGAGAGCTTTAGTAACCACACTTAACAAAGGAGTAAAACAAGGCCACAGCAAATAGAGGCTGGAATTCTGTAATCTGAACCCAAGCAGGTTAGACTCCAAAGCCATGCACTTGCAAGAGACCCTCACTGGCTACTTTGTACTTCAACCAAGATTTGTTGCCAGAAGCCATGATTTAAAACAACATAAAACAAAAAATAAAAGAACAGTAAATGAATTGGTAGCACTAATAGGTACATGCAGATCTGCCTGCCTCCTACTCCCCTGTGTAATTCCTGAGCTGCTGCTGCCTCCAGAATGGGAGATACTAGGGAGAGGGAGGAAGGAAGAAGGGGTCAGAGGGAGGAGGAAGGGGAAGGAGAGAAGGGGAAGGAAGAGAAGAGAAAATGGAACATGTTGAACTTAGGTCAAAATAATGCTGGCTGGAAGTAGTAACCGGGTGTGTTTCAGTACCTTGTCAGTGTTTAAGTCTATTTTCATTAGTTCTTGTCGTAATTCTCTCTGTGTGTAGACCTGACCGTGAAAATGAGGTTGAAGCCACAGATACAGTGTGAAAGACGGGAGGTGGGTTGTATTTCCACCATGAGATTCCAGTGGGTAGTCTGAAGGTCAAGAACAGGGTGAAGGTCCAGGGCCCTCCTGGGTCAGAGTCAGCTACAAAATGACTTTTAACAAAGAACCTGAACAGACTGGGGCATGTAGCAGTTCAGGTCATGTAAATGCAAAGCCTCAAAGGGAGACCCTGACTATTGAGTCAACCAAAAAGCCCTCTGGACTGTACCTCTGGGGAGCTGGGTCCAGGTTTTGAGAGTAAACTCGGTCATATGTCCTCATTCACAGCTGCTCCTCCTGGGAGGACTGTCATCCTCTTGGAGTCGCGCATTCCCGTCTCTGGAGCCTGGTGGCCTCTCCGGAGCCCCTGACTCCCACTGTGACCTCTAACCGGAGTTTCTGTGTATTACATGTGAGCCCCTTGTGAGGTCCACCTGACATTCACCTCCACAGCAGTCAGGAATCAACCATGAGAAACCTACAGTTGAGAGTGGGAAAGGGACTTGCCTAAGGTCACACAGCAAAAGAACCACAGAGCAGAGATTTAAACCCAGATCCTTGTGAAGGTTGGGTGGTTATCCTGTCATAGAGTACATTGAAGAAAATACTTTGAAATTGCTTTGAAGTAAATTAAAATCACACAGGAAGTGGCTGCCCTTCCCAAAGTTCCTTGCAGTTTCCTCAGTCTCCCCTTCTAGCTGCCTGACCTCCTTCCCCAGGATGTACTGCCCAGGTATAGATTGGGAAGCCCCTCCCTTTGCCCTGCCCAACCTCGGGGAATAGGGGCAGGAGCGTCATAAGTCCTGTAGCCTCAGAAGTGGAAAATGCCCTGAAGACACTCCAGACCAGCTGCCAGTACAGTCCTGGCTAAACCAAGGCCCAAGAGATGGCACAACATGCTAAGGTCACCGCTAAGTTGATACGCCAACAAAACTCACACCCAGACTTCTCTCTATGACATTCCTGGCTTCCTATCTTTTGCTGTGACATGTTTCAGCAGAAGTTCTTAACTGAGGATCTGAGGATCCAGGGGCACATGAACAAGAACTTCTTGATCCCCTGTAGTGGTGTGCAGACTCAGAGTGTGCTAGGCACGCGAGCACACACTCTCTCATCTTTCTGGGGATCGTTTGTTAAACTTTCAAGACTCCATAGGGTTCCATGACCCAGAAGTTTCTAAGGCACACCATGTCTCACCGGAAACCAGCCCCAGCAGCTGCACGCGGCATCCAGGCCTGGCGCAGTGGATGGCACAGGTGGAGGCAGCTATGTAGGGCACCGAGTGCCACCTGGCAGCAGCAGGCACTGGGCACTCAAAGAGGCTGCACTCCTGGCCCCAGGCCTCAGTGGTCATTCTGAGCATCTGTTTGGCCCAAAAAGCATAGCTTAGAGGATTCCTGCTTCTGTAGATCTCCTCTTCATAGGAGAGGTGAGCCCAGGTGGGGGGCGGGCAGGGACGTGCACATGAGGGAGAGCAGGGGGACTGGAAGCAGCTCTTTGGCTCAGCCTGCCGTGCCTTGGAAGCAGGGGCGGAAGCCAGAAATCACTGCCTCTGGGCTGGGCTGTCAGAAGCTCTGAGGAAGGCCAGCCTTCATGGGTGCAGGGGGCTGGGCTCTTCAGAGAAGGGCAACCATGTCAGGGAGGCCTGGGTGCCAGGAGGGGTTCAGGGAGACCTGTTAGTGGGAGCCCAGAACTGCAGAAATGGGAGGGCATTGTGCAGGAAAGCAGGGCCTGTGGGGTCAGCCCAGGGCAAGGTGGCCACCAGCCCCGCGGTGCAGTGTCCTCCAGACTTCCTAGCCAGCAGTCCCAGGCAGGGAGCTACGTGGCCGAGCCCCAGCGAGTGGGTGGCGTTTGGAGGAGGGATGAGGACAGCAGTTCGGAAGGCGGGGGATTTGCAGCTCTGAGTTGCTACTTGCCATCCCCATCCCAGCAGCTGGCTTTCTCTGCAAAAATGTGTCGCTTGGGAACAACCTGTGTCCGCCAGGCCCTCTCGGAGCAGCTGGTACCAGCACTGCGGCTTCTTCCTGCCGAGCTCCTGCCACTTGCTAGCTAACAGGTGCCAAGAGGGCGCGGGTAAGGTGCCCTATTTCCCGTGCTTTCCTGCTGGCCCTGGCTGGCACTGGAAAGCCGTAGCTCGGGCCGTGGACCAGGACAGTCCGGCTTCCCAGGAATGCTCCAGAGTCCCAGCACCTGCCCTCCTCGGAGCCTGCTTCCTCCTCTGGTGCCAGCAGACCGGGTCCCACAGGCTGTCCTCCTTCCTATTGCTTCCGGTGTCACTTCTGTTACATGTTTGATTTTAATCATGTCTACATAAGAAAATAAGAGCCCTGGCCAGTTTGGCTCAGCGGTTAGAGCGTCGGCCTGTGGTCCAGAGAGACCCGGGTTCGGTTCTCGCTAAGGGCACGTACCTCGGTTGCAGTTTGTCCCCAGCCCTGGTTGGGTCGTGCGGGTGGCAGCCACTCGATGTGTCCCTTTCACGTCAATGTTTCTCTCTCTCTCTCTCTCTCTCCCTCCCACTCTATCTGAACAAAAAACAAACAAACAAACAAAAGTGTCCTCAGGTGAGGATAAAAAAATAAATAAATAAGAATCATAATTTTTTAAATATTAGAACAGAGGTTACCGAGCTCTCAGATTTCCCAGACAGCCTCAGAATATTTAATTTGGGCACCGACACATTTTCCACGTTGCCGAGTGAGGATACGCGCACCAGCGCTTCGCCATTGTTTCCGAAAGAGCCGGCACTGGGCCCGGGAGCAGGCTGCACCGAGCCTGGGCAAGCCTTCACCACCTTCCACTGGGCTCTATGAAAAGGCCATGCACAGCCTCCTTCCCCTCCTGCCACTGGCCAGGAGGAGCTGGGCTGCGGTGGGACCTGAAGAGCGCAGAGCTCCGGGACCGCAAGGCAGCATGGGCCAAGCCTGGCAGTTGTGAAGGCTCCAGTGTCCTTTGTCCCGAAGCAAAGGCCAGGGACAATAGCGAGGGCAGGCTGTGGTGCTGGCTGTCCCCAGCAGCCCCTGCAGCGGGCTGGCAGAGCAGCCACCGGAGTGGAAAGCTCAAACAATTCTCTGCCTGTGCACTGGGGACAGGTAACCAAAGCTGGCTCACTCCCCGGCCCCTCCCCGGCGGGACAGGGAGCCCTGGCTGAAGCTGAGCCCTGTGATTGAGGACAGAGCCTCATCTAACTGGGAAGCAAGCCTGGAGGCCCGTGTGCCCTGGGGCCTGGGGCGGGGGGCGGGGGCAGACGGGGACAAAGGAGGCTGGACGCCCAGCGCTCCAGGGCTTGGCCTTCCGGGCTGCACCTGTCACTCCAGTGTGCAGACTGCCTGAGTGGCAGGCCAGCCCCGGCCCGGCCCAGCCCCACCCTTCTGCCTCAGCCAAGGCACTGTAATCCATTTGTATACTGGGCTTCCACCTAGGGTTTATTTAAGGATAAGACTGCATTTTTTAGAAAAGGTTGAAAACACTGCTTTGGAGAACCTCTGAGGCCGGCCACGTGCGCCAGGAGCAGGTGTTTGTGGGGCAGCTTCAGGAACGTGCTCCGCTCAGGAAAGTCTCCACTCGAGTCCTTGCCAGAGTGTGGTTCTCTCCCTTGACGCTCTCGTTCAGGTCATCTCTAGGACACCCCACGCTCTCTGTGCAGCTCGTTTTAGAACTCAA